AGTTGAGAGAGGTGTTCTAGCGAGGTGAAGAGTTACTGAACTAAGGAGTGACGGTGATGCGACAATATTTATATGTGCAGGCGGAGCCTGACATCTGTCGTCATCACGTCACCTGCCTAAAGGCGTGATTAGAGGTGGCTTCAGCCAGGACACGCAGGGGCGTGGTTCCCATACATATGTTGTACCGAGTGAATTGACTGAAAGGGAACTTCAGAGGAAGTTCAGCTCGCTCCGACTGCTGAGGAAAACTATTCTGGGAGTTTTATAGGAAAGTGGTAGGTAAGATGAACTGTCAAACACTACAACACTCATATAAATACACGTAAACTGCAGGTTCAGATCCTTTACTTGATGGTGTTTAGTGTCGAACATTTCTTAAATCACAGGGATTTGCCTGAGTTCACTTGCGGGACTGATGATTGTAAAAACTCATCCACACAAATTATCTAAACAGTAAAATTAAAAAAGATTCAAACAAACACTTAATTTCAATAATTCTGACAAATGGGGTAATTATGATTCCTACATGATTTTTATTTTAAAATACCACCTCATTTAAAAACATTTTACTGTGCATGTTTCAACACCAAAAACTCAGTCATGTATTATAAATCTAGTTAATATTTATAGTAATTTTACATAATCTATAAATTCATGCTAAATATCAAGGTTTTAACACCTCAATGCTCCAAAAACACAAAAAACAAAAAAAGAATTCCAAACTGAAACACTTTTAGAACAGCACACATTTAGAATTAGGGTTATACTCCTACTCTGACCCCGTTTAGAGTAAATTAAAAATAAATAAATATTTGCTATCCTCCAACAGGTTTTAAACAGTATTATTCAGTGTGATAAATGGTCTGCACTTATACATAATTTAAAATATAGTTTATTTTGTAAAGTGTTTATGACAATATATTGACACAAAGCTGCCACTCAGCTGTTATTTGAATTTTCCATCTTCTGTAATGATTTAGAAAATTTGTATTTTTATAACTGCATTGAAACCCTGAGCACCAAGAAATWACTGCAGACATTTTTCACACTCAGCCTCACAGGTTGACCATCCTGTTAAAGTTTTTTTTAAGTTTGAGAAATAAAGAGATTAAGAGTACTCTTTTAATCTGTCCTTGTCACATTTTTGTTTCTGCTTCATGGACAGCCTAAATGAAAYTAAAAGCTTTAAAACTTTAAGCTCATTTTCTCTGAGCTGCTTTATCAATCAAAGAAGTCAGAAGTGACAGATAAACTGTTTTATTAACATCTATCATGTCCAAAACAAAAGCACGGACATTTATTTTTAAACCCAAAGTCACACAGGATCAACCCAGAAACGGAACACCAGCCTGTGATCCGACAGAACCAGTACCTGATGACGGAGTCGGTGCGGTTGCAGCCTGGAATGGACGAGGCCTTTTCCCCYGGCGACCCGAGGATCTGTAGCGTTATGTTGATGTCGACTTCTGTCGAGTGTTTGATGGAGAACTCCATCACCTCTGTGGGGATCAGAGGGGTTTCACCCTGAGGATCATCTGCCAGCAGATACCCTACAGAAAACACACACAYAAGAATCAGGCTCACCCATGGTTTTACTAAACTTTTATAGTTTAAAGCAAGAAAACCATAGCAGTACAACTGTATGTTTAATTATTTCCAAGCAAAAACATCACTACAATTTATTCTTGTTCGTGTACCCAACTCTCATTGCATTCTAGGAATAAAGAGATGCCAGTTTTAGAATCTAGATCAAATTAAACTAGAAATGCGAGCAGTTATTAACGGGGTCCAAGTCMCATAACGACCCCGGCTCACCTCAGTGCCCTGTTGACCTGTTTTAAATATTTTACACTGACTGGGCTTGAATTCAAAGGGATGTTACCATATTTATTCATGTACAATACGATCTCATGTATAATACGACCCCACTTTTTTGAGCTTAAAAAGCATAAAAAAATTTAATCTTCAAACTACCTCCAATTTCATACAGACTTCAAGATTTTTCAGCCTTTGCAGTCTTTATACATATCAGTAAAATGATCATTGGACTGTTCATTTTATTTTGACAACAAATATATATCAGCTGTAGCAGCATCATATGAATTCTGGTATTTTACACATAGTCCACCAGGATGCACCAACACAAAA